TGTGATTAATAGGACGGACGCAAGGACGGGGTTGAGTGGTGGTATTGAAAGAGTGGAAAGCTTTGTTTACTTAGGGGATAAGCTGAACGCGGATGGAGGATGTTTGAGCGCAGTTACGGCTAGAGGGATGGATGAAATTTAGGGAACTGGGTGGGGTATTGTGTGGAAAGAAATGGTCAGTGAAGATGAAAGGGAGGGTATATAAAGCATGTGTGAGAGCAGCGATGGTATATGGTGGTGAAACTTGGGTGTTGAGGAGAGAGGAGGAAAGTGTACTGCAGAGGGCTGAAAAAGCTATGGTGAGGATGATGTGTGGGGTTAAAGTGAAGGATAGAAGGAGTAGTACAGAGCTGATGTCAATGATAGGACTGAATGAGGACATTGTGACATTGATAAGGAGATCGAGATTGCGGTGGTATGGACATGTGTTGAGAAGGGATGAAAGGGTCGGGATTAGGCGAGCGTTGGAGTTCGAGGTTGAAGGAGTGGTAGAAAGGGGTCGTCCGCGATTGGGATGGAGAGAGCAGGTGGAGAAGGACAGGGTGAAAGCGGGGTTGCGTGATACTGTTGCGAGTGACAGATGTGGATGGCGTCGAGGAGTATTTCGGTTTCATCATAGGTAGCCAAACGGCAACCCCCGATCTTGGGGAAAATGTCGTCTAAACGTTTGTTGTTGTTGTATCCAACGTTAATATTTATAACACAGTTTTTATTACTAAAATTTTCTGCTACTACTAGCAATGGCGCACCTTTCAATTGATACCACAAACACAATTCCAATTCTGCCCTTGCTAATTCTTCTAGTGGTTGTTACTACTACCACCACAGCAGTACTACTATTGCTGCTGCTGCTGCTTCAACTTCATTACTACTCACGTGTCGCGGTTACTTGCGTGCACCTGCACATGTATGTAATAGAGCCCCAAGCGGATAACCGTAGTTGCGGATAAAAAGTTCTCAAAACTCTGCGGATTTGGCGGTTTGCGGATTTTGTTCGTGCGGTTTGCCGCGGATGCGGATTGAAGTGTCTTATTTAAAAACCGACCGCAAAATTAAATTATTAATTTAAAAAAAATTTTCAAATTAAAAAATTTTGTTTTTACGTTTGTTTGCATATATGTACGTGTGTGAGAACGTATGTGTATTTAATAGCCATAGCTGAGTCTCTTTGGGGTCCACGTTGATAAAGCCAAGCGAGCAGCTTCTGCTAATTACTTCAGCAGATTTGAATAAATAAAGTTAGTTGGCTTACTTAGGAAATTGCATGGGTTTTAACAAACAACTAATACAAAAGATTTACTTGACTAAAAAATATTTTTAAAACAATATAATTAAATCAAATTATTTAATTTAAAATTATCGTTGTCAGTTTAAATAAAAATATAGCTTTTTGTTTAGAAAACAGAGTGGCTTACTGAAGCCATGGTGGGCTTACTTACGAAATTGCATAGGTTTCAACAAACAACTAATACTAAATATAAATTTGACCCAAATACATTTAAAAAATTGTTCTTAAATCGAATTATGTAATTTGAATTTACTTTTGTCAATTTAAATGAAAATCCATCCCACGAGCTGTGTTTCAACAACAATCTCGAGGAGGACTGGCACCAGTTTTGGAGGACAAGGTAGGGTAGGTAGGTAGGCTAGGGCTTAACATTAGTTAAAATGTTTCTAGCAAATAAAAATTAAATTATTCAAAAAAGGCAAATTAAAAACGTTAAAATATGTAAAATATAATACTTGAAACATAGAAAATTTTTAAAACTTAAAAATACAAATTTGTAGCTAGGTGAGGTGAGTTAATCATTATAGGTAAGCTAGAGCCATGAGAGTAATTTAATTGTAGGTAGGTGACTGACTACTATTCCTAAGACTTTTAACTATTTTTTGTTATGTGTCTGTTTTTGCTTCACAACATCACACCAACAAAACATACTAATTTTTTTTGTCGTCGCTTTAAATTTTACATTTTTGAACAATTTTTTTAATAATGTTTGTTTATAATGATAAGCTGTGAACTGTTCTTACTAATTGTTCATGCTACTTGGATTATTATCGTTAGAGAGCTTCTAAGGAGTGCATGTACAAAAAGTTGATTGAAGGTTGGAAGCGGCTGGACGATATAAATAGATAGTTGTTTACTCTGAGTTCTGACATACCACCACTACTACTATTACTACTACTACTACTACTACTACTACTACTACTACTACTACTACTACTACTACTACTACTACTACTACTACTACTACTACTACTATAGCTGCTGTTGCTACTACTACTACTACTAATTTTGTGATGGAACAATAAAAATTGCATGACAGAAAAGGCAGTAAAAAATTTCATGAATACATAAAACGCTGAAAATATGAACTATGCATTATTTTTATTTTATTATCGTTTATATTTGTTTATTTTGTTTGTTCGTTTGTTCGTTCGTTTGTTTTTTGCTTATTCGTTTGTTTGTTTATGTTTCTATTGTTGTATATGGTTATATTGTTGTCTATTTCGTTGTATATGTTTTACAGTTGTTTATTTTTTGTTTATATTTTCAGTATTTTCTTACATTTTGCCTTTAATTGTGGGTTATTGTGGGGTTGTTGGTTGTTTTGAATGTCTGTTTAGGAAGTGCTTAACTAAGAAACGTTTAAAAATTAAATATATATATATATATATATATATATATAATATATATATATATGAAATAAGTTTCTATCATTAAAATAATTATCTTATTAAAATAATTCTTTGGTCCGGACGTAAATATTATTAATATTTATAATATTACTTATTACTATTGTTATTATTTTATTATTATTGATATTTTCGTTCTCATAACGACTACTGAACCGAAACGACATCAATAACACCGTCTTTCCTCTTATACCCTCTCTCTCCCTCTCTCTCTCTTTCGTTCTCTCTTTCTCTCGTTATCTCGCTTTCTCTCTTTCTAACTTTTTGTTGATTTTTTTAAATATGTTTGCACTGTATCTCTCTTTCTTTTTCTACTTCTCTCTTTCCCTCTATTTTTCTCCTATCTTACTTCTTTTCTTCAATTGTTTCTCATATTCATGTACGTCTCTCTCTTTTCTCCCTCTCTCTTTTTATGTTTCATCATATTTAGACACACACACACAGAGGCACTGTGTGTGATTAGACACACACACTCAGAGGCACTCAGACAAACAAACACATTTGTACATACGTGTACACAACGTACACACACAACAAATAGGCATACACATGCATGCAGATTAGACGCAGAAGATAAAAAAGCAATACTGGCATACGTTTATAAATAGGCGTAGATAGATGTGATATGATGAAATGCGAGCTGAGTTATAGACAGACAGACAGAACTGAAATACGCCACAGGGTATTGTTGATACGATGCAATAAAACGTTTTTCAAACGCAAAATACAACGCAAGCAAGATACAATATAAACTGAAAATACAAAGTAGATACCATAAGATCACGTAGCATGTAATACGTTTCATCAAATGATTTTTATCTCAAACCATCTTATAAGCAAATATGTACTACAGAAAGAAATATAAGCGTACTCACAACCGTACATACACAAATAAATACACACACAAATACATACACAAATAAATACTATCATGTGCACGCACACACACAAACACGCACACACACATATATATGTTTAGAAACAAATATAGAATAACAATATACATATTCACATTAACACATGCACGCATAGACATACACACATTCATACACGCACACACACACACACACACACACACACACACACACACACACACACAAACATCCTTGGAGACTTAAAGTAACAAAAAAGTGAATCACTTCAATTTAACTCTTTCGTAAGAAAAAGTCATTTGGCTCTAATCTATCGTGTATACTATTTATATTGCTACTACTACTACCACCACCACTACTACTACTACTACTACTACTAATAATAATAATAATAATACTAATATTTCTACAACTACTACAATTATTACTACTACTGCTGCTGCTACTAATACTGCTATTACTGCTGCTGCAGTTGCTGCTGCTGTTACTACTACTGCTATCATTATTTTAATCCACCCAACAAAAACAAACTAGTCATAGGCAAAAAATAGACAACACAAATGATATCATCCGGTCTTCAAATTTAATTTGTCCACGTGACATCGTGGCAGATGACGTCATGCTGCAGAAGTAGCAGTAGTAGCAGTCGTGCCAGCATTAGAAGTAGCTGTAATGGTAGTAGCGACAGTAGCAGCCTTAGTGTTCACAATAGTGTTAGTTGCAGAATAGTAGTAATGTTATTATTCTTATAACTATTAGTAGTAAAAGTAGCAGTAAAAGTAGCAGTAGTAGTAGTAGCCGTAGTAGCAGTAGTGGTGGTAGTTGTAGTAACGACAGCAACAGCATCCATCAATAAATATTTATTTCATGCAGCCAGGCAGCGATATCTCTACGAGTCACGCGAGCGTTATTTTTTCGTGTCAGAGTTTAAAGTTCAATAATAGTCTCTGATGCCATCTTTAGAATGTATGAATAGATGAATGAATGAATGAATGAATGAGTGATCGACTGTGTGGGTGGATGAATGAATGAATGTGTGGGTGAATTACTACTACTGAATGAATGGGTAAATTGATAGAAAGATTGACGAATAAATAAATGATTGAAAAATTTAGCCGATGAATGAATGGATAGATGGCGTATATTTGAATAAATGAACGATGGATGAATGGATGAATGAACGAATGATTGAAAAAGTAAATAGATGAAAAAACAGGTGAATGCTCAGTTGGAAAAATGGTCAAATGAATGAGTGGGTGTTATCCAGAGATAAGTGTAGGCAAGGCGATGACTTTAACCAGGAATCTACTTGAAAATTTTACTCGTTTATTTATTCATTTATACATTCAGATGATCATTCGATTCATTCATTTGTTCGCTCTTTCTTTCTTTCATTCATTTTTTATTCGTCTATTCATTCACTCATTCGTTGGTTCCTTCTTCTACATTCAATCGCAATATATTTTGCTGTTGTTCTCGCTTATCTAAGGTCAGGTATTACGGTACCACATGCTGGTTTTAGGTATATGTAGGTATATGTGTGTACTACTACTACTACTACTACTACTACTACTACTAATTCTACTACCACTACTACTACTACTACTACTACTGCTGCTGCTGCTGCTACTGCTGCTGCTGCTACTGCTACTAATATCACTGCTAGTTGTACTACTATACTACTACTGCTACTGCTTTTACAATAGCAACAGTAGTAACAAAGTTGGTAGTAGTAGTGGTGGTGGTGGTGGTGGTGGTAGTAGTAGTAGTAGTAGCAGTAGTAGTAGCAGTAGTAGTAGTAGTAGTAGTAGTAGCAGCAGCAGTAGTAGTAGTAGTAGAAGTAGCAGTAATAGTAGTAGTAATAGTGGTAGTAGCAGTAGTAGTTAGCAGTAGTAGTTGTAGTAGTAGTAGTAGTAGTAGTAGTAGTAGTGGTGGTGGTGGTGGTGGTGGTGGTAGTAGTAGTAATCATATTAGTAAACCTAAGCGTAACACACAGGCTGGCAATGTCCATGAGTACGCACTTTACTATGTGGAGAGTCGTGCATTAAATCCTATTTGGAAATGATGATAATGGTGATGATGACGACGACGATGAAATGGATTATTTTGACGGTAATAGTAATGAGAACGACTACGATGATGACGAAGGGGAGATGAAATGATGATGATAACAACAAATTATGACGCTAACGTTATTACGTAATAACAAGGTGATGACGTAATCTGATGAATGTTGATGATGGTGATGACGCAATAACATGATGATGACGCAATGAGCAATAAAAATTTCAATCCCAGTGATAGGACGTCCGTCCTATAAGGTCAACGATATTAATGATGATGGCAGTGGTAAGAATGACAACGTTTAATACTAATTAAAAAATCCATCTGGTCAGAGCGTGCAGTCGAACTCGGTACATGCACACGGCACAGATGGAAACTCGACGGAAACTTCAACACATCACACATCAACCCGCCCACACGCTCCTATGAATAAATATAAGGTGAAGTGTCAATTTAGCCGCTAATACGTTCCCATTTGGGACGCTATTTTTTCGTTTCTGGCCATAAATTGACACTTCTAAGTGACGCTGATTCATGATTTTTCGGCTTTCTCACAGAGCTTTGGAGAAAAAGATAGATGGATAAAAAAGGAAGAGAGAGAGAGAGAGGAAGAAAGAGAGTATGAAAGAGAGGGAGGTACAGAGAGAGAGAGAGAGAGAGAGAGAGAGAGATAATACATACGTCTTATCAAATTTATTTTTATACAAATATACGGTGGCGTTAGAATTAGTAATAGGAATCGTGCATATGATGTTACAAGCGGCAAACGTGTATGTCAGTGAATTAGGCAAAAAGATAATTGCAAGTTTACTTTCCGGAATAAAACATCTGCTTCCTCTGGGGGTCCAATGTCACTAACTTCACTAACGTAATGGCTCTTTGGTGGTCTCGTGTAGGCGTCAAATATTGCCGACTATTTTCTTTGATTTGTGCTGCAGGGCTGTTAGCCGGACTATTTTCGATGACTGTTTCATTGTATTCGTTTTTATGTGTTTGTGTGCTGGTAAGTGTTTAAAAAATAGTAATACGAATAAAATAGTTAGGTGGTAATTATCAGAGGTGTGGTCAAGGCTCCCCCCCCTACGTGGGACTGCAGCCACCCAAAAAGAATATCTTTCTTAAAAGATCTATGAAACGTTCTATTCTAGTTGTAAGTAGTCGTCGTCACTGAAGTGATATTGTGAAAAATTTTAATGCCTTATGTTTTTGCTTACACCAGTAACTATGAAAAAAAGCGGTTTGAGCAACTTTGAATCTTTCCACAGAGCTTTCTGGTCAAACCTCTAGTAATTTTATAAAATAGGTAAGCCTAGGTAAGAATGTGTGTGTATTTTGTTGCAGTGCTAGGCATTTTTGCGTATTTTCTATTAATTGTCTAACATTTTTCAATTTAAATTTTTTGACAAAACTTCAATTTCCAGCGCATATGTTTTTATTAA